CATTGTGTCCTAAAAATGGGAACTGTTGTCTCCATGGTGTAGGAGGTAACACTCCAAAAGAATGGAGAGGGAAAAGACTGGGGTTTGGAAGGGCTCTGAGGGCTCTCCGGCCTAAAACAATGGGCAGAGACAGCAAAATCCCAGGATGGCATGTGAACCTACTGTTACTGTAACCATGCCATGCCAGGAGCCAGTGGCATGGGAGGCAGGTTTGGGTTGAGCAGGACCTGACCTGGGGACAGTGGGATAGACCTGCACAGGACACCAAGGCTGAGTGACTTCACCTCCCAGCCCTATCCTCCTCTGTAAGATGCGAGGCATTGAGTAAGCTTGGCAGATTGTGGAGGTCAACCTCTGTCACAGAGGTGAGGTGCTAGCCATTGCCAGGGATGACTCCAGGTAAAGTCAGGTGTGGGTGTGACTCATTCACGTAGCTCATGTGTTGGTAACATTCACAGAAATTGGGGAATATGTATGTGTTCAGGAGATGAGATTCCTCTATCTCTGGAATGGAGGTTAGGGGATCCTAACAGAACAGCTAGCTATTAGTGCCTACCACCCTTTACCTGACTGAGGATTCTCCATCCTTCTCTCTTGACCTACTTTCTCCCCAATAATTCAGAGGGTTGACCTAGTGTCCTAATGAGGACCCTCCTGGAACTTCATCAGGTTAGATAACCATTTTTCTTATAAGAAGTCATGGCTACAAACTGCAGAGCACTGTGTCTGTCTGTCCCAGGAGCCTCCATGAAAGCAGTTATTGTGAGTGGTGTGTCCTGGGTGTATAGCAGGTGCACAGAGATGGTTTCTATGGATACTGGACATCTTTAAGGATTCCTGCTTCTCTAAGGAGATACTCAGCAGAGCACATGGAAGTCATCCCTGACAAGGTCTTCCTCTTCCCACAAGGCTTGGTGGCTAGCATTCTTTGTTCATACTGTATTGTTGGGGTAGGTCAGACTGTTCTAGGAGGGCTCCAAGAATGCTGGAAACTGACACAGTTAGACAATTTCCCTTCTTGTATGACCATTGTTTCAACTATTTTGACCTTGTTCAGTCTGAAATAATGTGGGAAAGGGAGAGGCTATGTGCTTTGGAGATAGAGATGGGGACAGAATCTGAGGAGTTAGCCAGCCAGTCTCTGAGGAGCTGGTATTTCTGTCCACAAGTGAGAGGTTTACAGCCATCAAAGACACCATGCACAGGGGCAGTCCTTCTGGAACCCTCCAGCAGAACCTGAAGGGGGAAGAGGTGGAATAGCTTCCCCAGGGTTCTACTGCAGTTGTGGGGAGGGCTGTCAACTTGAGAAGGGTGTTTTCTCTGTATCTGGGAGCTAGAAGTGTTAGGTTCTGAGGGGGTAAGTGGAGGTTCTGAGGGGGTAAGTGGAGGTTCTGAGGGGGCAAATGGCTGAAAGTGATCACACCTTGTTAGTTCTGTTCTCTCTGTTTTTGTTTCAGACTCAAGTTACAATGAGGCTTTATCTAGACTGCTTCTGGGCACTGATGACAAAAGGTAAGACATAGGTCATATCAAAGGGATGGAGTGTGACGAGGAGTTCCCAGGGAGACACCTGGGCTCTGGCACCAGGCCGCTGAGGGTGAGGCAGAGTCAGAGGGTGCCAGCTGCAAACCTGTGCACCACAAAGAGTTGTTGATTCTGGAAACAAGACAATGGTCCCTTGTCATCGCAAGGTTTTGTGTGTGTGTGTGTGTGTTTTTAAAAATATTTTTAAAACATTTTTATTCATTTAAAGTGAGTGCTCTGCTGCATATACATCTGCAGGCCAGAAGAGGGCATCAGATTCCCTCATAGATGGTTGTGAGCCACAATGTGGGTTGCTGGGAATTGAACTCAGGATCTCTGGAAGAAGGAACAGTGCTTCTAAATGCTGAGCCATCTCTCCTGCCCTCATTTCAAGGTTTTTAAACAGATACTCAGCTGGAAGGTGAGGAGTCATGAGGACTCCTGTGTAGATAGACATATGTAACTAATGTGTTGAAGTGAAGTGAGACGGGACTGAACCAAGTTTCTGCTTTCCAGTCCACGTTTAAATCCAGCTGTGAGGGCACCAATGGGTGTGATGGAAACCTGGCACTGTTCTCACTTAAAACTGCCAGCAACTTAAGCACCTTTGAAATTTCTATTATGCAACAAATACTGAGGGATGCCCTGCAAGTCTCTCGGCTCTCTGCAAGCTGACAGCAGACTGCCTATTTAAGCCTCTACCCTCCTGCCATTGTAAGTTAGAGCTAAGAGTAACTACAATCCAGGGAGGGAAGTTGAAGCCAGTGTCTATCAAGGCTTTCAAGTCTAGAATGGCTAGAACCAGAGTCCTGCAGCCCAGCAGTCACCCTGCTTGGATGGTTCTCACAATGGAAGCCAGTGCTGTCAGGCTCTCAGGCCTTTTTCCTGTGCATCAAACAAGCACAGGGCTGGGGTTGCTTAGCTCAAGGCTTTGGTGTGGTGGGCTGAGAGCCTCAATCATGGCCTCAGGTGGCTGGGTGGGACCCAGCATTGCTTCCTTGTAAAATGGTAAATGCCATGTGGAAGTTTAAAAGTTACAACACGTGCAGACCCAAGACCCTCAGATATGGCCTGGCCCTCTTCTCTCCTCTCCTCTCCTCTCCTCTCCTCTCCTCTCCTCTCCTCTCCTCTCCTCTCCTCTCCCCTCCCCTCCCCTCCCCTCCCCT